TATGGGAAAGATTTTAGAATGCATCAGATTTTGCTGAAACTTGACCTATAAGGCTTATTCGACATGCTGATTACAAAAATGAGATCCGTTTCGCACGAAAAGGCTTCGTTCGTGAGATCAAAAAAATGAATTTTATTTTAGCGACAAATGAATATGATATTCGTGTTCACCGTATAGGATTACCCTACAGTGCAAAGTTATAGCAAATTCTGACTTTTCGCAGCTTAGTTATTGACAAATTGCCTTAAAAACTTCACGCATTTGACTTGTTCATCTTCTCAAAGGCGCCCCACCTTAATTTGTGTTTAAATTTCATTTCTTTTTTACTGATTCCAATGTGCCAACTACCAGCTACATGCTGCCTATGATTGCTTTTTCATATGTTTAAATCAGGTTTCGTAGGGCTTTATGTTTGCCAAAAAGTCGTGAAACCATAGGTCCGAGCTTTCACCAGGTGAAGGGGGTCTCGGCTGTTTCCGACCTTCCAGGTGCAGGGGGTATGTGAGCCTGAGGGGGGGGAGAGAGAGAAAAGGTAAAAAAAGCGTGGTATGAAGAGCTCTAATTTGTGCCTTATTTAGGTAAAATTGGAAAAAAATTTTTAGAATTAAAAAAAATAATATTAGGTTGAACCGAAAGTTTTTTCGCACCAAACTCGAAAATTCATAACCTCTAAATTTTCCAACCGATTGGATTGCTCTTATTTTTATATGAAAGAGCAGGTCATGCTTTTTATAAAGACATCTAAATTGCTTACTAATGATCATCTATTGCACAGATAGGAGCGGTAAAAGAAAATTGGTCAAGAATTGAATTTTCTGTGTGGGGTCATAAAAAATCGGAAACTTGCAACAAAAATCGGAGCAGTCGGTATTGTAGGTTTTTTCACCAGCTCTTTCTAATTGTGAAGTTTGCGCCGATTGAACGTCTCTATATAAAGTTACGATTTTCGAGCAAGCAATACAAAAGGGCGATTTTGATTTATCTTGGCATTTTTCAGAGAAATTGTAAGTTTCCATAGAGACGCTCAATCGGCACAAACTTTGTACTGTGAGAAAGAGCTGGTAAAAGAACCTACAATACTGATTGCTCCGATTTTTGTTGCAAGTTTTCGATTTTTTATGACCCTACACAGAAAATTCGAATTTTGACTAATCTTCTATCGCTCCTATCTATGCAACAGATGACCATTAGTAAGCAGGTAAAATGTCATTATAAAAAACATGACTTACTGTTTCATACGAAAATAGAAGCAGTCAAATCAGTTGGAAAAATCAGGAGTTATGAATTTTTGAAAATCGTGCGCAAGAACTTTCGGGACGACCTATACAATGTGTTGGCTTCTATGGGTCACCGGAGCAAACGATTTTTAGAGCCGAGAAGCAAAGAAGCCCTAATATGCTGTCTACCATTCGAAAGCTGAGATCATGGAGAATCGACGTAGACCGTCGATTTTCTAGGTCTTCTGTGCCGCGAGATATGAGGGATTTTATGTGCTTCAAAAATTAACTGATTTTGTGTCCTCACTTTCTGCTCTCCAAATGAATGCTACGAGAAAGTCGACGGTCTACGTTTGTTAATGAAGACTTGCTCTTTAACACAGATAGATAATCTGCAGTGATTAGGTTTCGTTTGGCAGAAATCTGCTGTTGAAAATGACCATGTCTTCAGATAAAATGCGATGTATCTCTCGGTAGAGAAGAGCTAGAAAGAAGTCGACGGTCTAGATCGAATCCCCTTTTTCTGAGCTTTCGAATGGTATATAGGTTGCTGGGCGAAAAAACCAACCAGTTTTCAAAAATGGGGTGGAGATATTTACTATTAGCTTGCTCCACCCAGCTCCACCAATGTATTGGCTTTTATCGGTTACCGGAGCAAATGATTTTTAGAGCCGGGAAGCAAAGAAGCCCTAACATGCTGTATACCATTCGAAAGCTGAGATCATGGAGAGTCGACTTAGACCGTCGACTTTTTTCTAGGGTCTTCTGTGCCGCGAGATATGAAAGATTTTATGTGCTCTAAAAATTAACTGATTTTGTGTCCTCACTTTCTGCTCTCCATATGAATGCTGCGAGGATAAATAAATAATATAAATAAACATAAATACCGTTTATTTCGTAGATATATGAGTGTACTTGTTGTTTGAGGTACTTAGCCTGCCTTTTGATAACGATTTTTATCATATTCTCAGAGTACAATACCAATCTCAGCCCAGGTGAAGGGAGTCATCGGGAGTTTGGCCTTAAAGTGAAGTTGGTAAGATCCATAACTCCCCCTATCGCAACTATGCGTGAAACCTCGATTTTCAGCAGTTTTCAAAAAATGCTTAGATTTTCTGTACTACGTTATCAAAAATCAAACGGTTTGCGCAGACTTGCAGCTTACATCACGGTCTACATGATGTCACAAAATTATATTGCTTTATAAAATAAGAAAAAAGTTACGCAAAAAGTTGCAAAACTTATGTGCCAACATAATATATTATTGCTTGCTAGAAATAAGAAAAACCAAAATTTTTGACTTATCAGAAAAGTGAATCTGTGTTCGCTGAAAGGTAAATGTATCCCACAAGCCAGTAGAAGCACAACTGCAAATTTGCAGCTTTTTACAATCTCTGATTTCCGAAAAATATTGATTTTTTCATAAAATACCCCAGCAAGAAAAGTTACCCTAGATTCACAAGTATAGGACGCACCTTTTTCGATTTTTCAAGGAGCTGCAAAGCCACCTTGCTCTATCGGAAAACGAGACTTATGCCGCACGACTCTCAGGCTATATGCAGCACTGTACATATCCTTCGGCGTGTCCGTACTTCTCTAGTTTAAAAAAAATCCCCAGCGTCTTATAGCATATACTCGTGAAATAAGGGTAAATTCAATTTTCGAGAACTAAAGCTTGTAGGAAGTTGGGAATTTGCGAATGGGCTTCTAAAGGCATGTAGTAAACACTTACTTATGTGTGAACAGCACATCATAGTTCTTGAAAGACGATAAATTTAGATTTCTCGACTTCCAGCACAGATACAAATACAAGCTGCAGCAGCATATATGGATGTTCTATGTGAAATGTGTATATATGTGAGTGAGTGAGAGATTTGCTTTGTCTTGGAGTTATAATTTTTTCAAATTTTCCGGGTATCTTGGACTCGCTAGATTTCGGTTTCTAATTCGAGTTTATCGAAGGTGGTGCGAGCATTCGAGTGCCATCCTATAGAGCTTGATTTGCTCTATCGAACCGTACCCTGCATCCTAATCAAAATGAAGATGTAAATGACTGAGTGTGTTCAAAATCTTAAAATTGAAAAAAAAAAACTTATGAGTCACTGATAGTAGGAAGGGTACAGGCGCGTTTACACGACAAATAGACAAACTCGCCAAATGTGAGAGAACATTTTGACTGGAGTTACAGCAAGTCCAAAAATTCTTACCGCTTAAATAGCTTCCTTCAGAAATACCCACTCGAATGAGTAAGGACGGGAATCCAAGGCATCGTTGGCATCGTTGTGTGACTCTCCACTAGCCCCGCCCAATTACTTTGAATGGGCGTCGTTGGTGGAACTTTGACAATGACCCCCGGACTTAGCTCATGTGGAAGGTGAGATTGGGTCTACAATGTACCTGATCGTTCACTAATAGTACCAGAATCTAATAAGGTGCCATCCCCTCGAGTCACTGCCTTCAAGCGAAAACTGCCTTTAAGCGAAAACGGCAGATTGCAGAAAGAGCAAATGCTGACTTGGAATTTAGCTTGTTTTGTCAGAATCGCCTTGCGTAATGAAGGCTGCATTCATTCGAATATGAAGTTGATGGATTATGAATCTGTACGGTATTGAGACTTCCAACTAAGAAGTTGCCCAAGCCGAAAGATAACTTTGAAAAAAATTGCCCAGAAGGTAGGTTCAGCTGTTGCCAATCCCATTAATGTGGGTGATCTGAAGTTGACGAGTCCGCAGCAGACTCCAAAGTGCCTAGAAATGTTCGAATTCATCTTCCACTGTAAGACCTATATGTTCGAAGAAATTTTCGTTTCATTGAATTACGCTGCAAGAACTTGTAAAAAGAATTTTGCTTGTAAGTGAGTCTCACCTTTCTTCGCACAGCAAGAGCTTCCAATTATGGAAATTTTTCAAAATTCATCTTTTTTTTGACATTTAGAAGGGACTCAGACAGCGGATAGGACCCCTCCGCCGGAGAAATGGCAGGGTCGCGCCGTTTCCCCAGCGGTGGGTCTCCCATTTGTCCGGCGGAGCCCTCCCATTTCTCCGGCGGAGACCTCCCATTTCTGCTCCGGATACCTCCCATTTTCTGCTCCGGATACCTCCCATTTTCTGCTCCGGATACCTCCAATTTTCTGCTCCGGAGCCCCCCGATTTTGTGCGCCGGAGCCCCCCGATTTTGTGCTCCGCAAGTCTGCCGCGGCATACTGTAATTAGCCCTAATTAAAGGCAGCTTCCAGGCAGATCTGGACCTATGGGGCTTTTACATGGAAAGTACTTTTGGGGCCCTAACTAAGGCACTGCCGAAGCAGCAGCTCAGGTAGTGCTCTAATGGCGGAGATATTCCCCTCGAAACTGGCCCCCCCGAACGTATTCGCATGGATTCATGGCAGTTTCGCGCCAGGATCCACCGCTTTGCGCCATGAATCCATGCGAAACACGGTCGCGGGGTCCAGTTTCGAGCAGAATATCTCAGGCGTTACAGCACTACCTGAGCTGCCGGTTGGGTAGTGGCTTAGTTAGGGCCCCAAAAGTACTTTCCATGTAAAATCCCCATAGGTCCAAACTTGCCTGGACGCTGCCTTTAAGCTCCAAACCCCAATTTTGTCTCTAAACCCCACCCAAATTAGCCGAATAGGACCCTCCCCCCCCCCGGGTAGGAGTTCAGCGCGACCCTCACCCCTACTCTACCCCCTCCCTCTCACCCCTAGCGTTTGTGGATAGAAGATAGAAGAAAGAACGAAGAGATAAGACATTTATTTCAAATTTTTCAAACTTCTTAGAAAAATCATCTTATATCATAAATCATTTTACACCCACTGATGTAAAAGAATGAACCTTTCCAACCAAACAACGGTTTGTGGAACAGTTTAAATTGCAGTCGCAGTTGGCCCATATTATCTATTTGCTTGCATATGTGAAGAACGAATTGTTCTCCACTGATGTCATCGGGATCAGCGCCAAGATTGAATTTGTTATTTTGATGAGCCAGTGCTAGAGATGCTCGTCGTAAATCGCGCTCCTCATCTGCTCCCTATAAAACAAAAGAATAACGTAAGCTCTGAGACTTAAGAAAATGATTTTGATTTGGTCATTAATGCTTCTACAAGATGGACAACGCAGAATCCTTGTGAGATGGCATTAAACATGAAACTTACCACGTATACTCCCACCAACCTCCATAGAACCTTCAAAATGGCTTCCTTGTTTGCTCCCGTAATTGCTTCTGCCTTTACCGCTGAAAGCACACGATTGGAAGCTTGTTTACAGAATCGCAAGACAGAACCTACCTCCTAGGTCTACTCCTCTATCGCAAGCAGTTTGCAAGCACACTTTTACATTGCCAATTTTTCTCAAACGGTCTCCCCCTGGATTGCGTAGGCGAGAGATGAGGCTGCCAGGCGGACATCCAGTCACCAACTCAATGATTTTACTGCAATTAATAATCATTTGCAGAAAACATGTGCAAAAAGTCTACTAGGGACAGCCAAAATCACTCCGTCGGTGAGATCCGAAAAATCCTTGACCGTGTAATTATAATCATCAGCAAAACCCTGAATGAGAAAGAAAAATAATAGGTTCATTCCTCTTAAGTGCTTACCTGCTTGTAAGTTGGCCTGAAGCCCATCTTCGCAAATGCTTTGTTAAGTGGTGTTCCACTTCCAGACAAAACTTCTCGGCTCAACTCGGCGAAAACATCATCCATACACTGAAGTCAAATTCACCAATATCAAATCTAGAGTTATTGACTTACCTTGAACGACGAAGATTTTGTGAACATACTCGGATTGTGGTTGATGATCGAATTTGCTTTTGCTGTTTCCACAAAATAACAAAATAAGCAGGTGTGAAGCAAGAAGTGCGAGTGCGAATTCTCAACTATAATGCAATAATTTTCACTCAGATAAATGAATTGTAGAGAGCATAGAAGCATTTTTGAACGGATTGGATTAGCGCCATTTGGAAAACTTTAGACCATCAATTTTGCTATTTGAACTTGGTGATGCATGTAAAAGAGGATGATTGCTCTGCGAAAAGACATCTGCAAGGTTAGAAAGATGCAAATGCAAAGAAATACGACAGCGAAGAGAGGAAAGGTGCTCAAAACAAGTCATCAAAACGATAGTACTCCTATTCCCATCTCCTTTTATCCGAAAAGTTAGACCCACAGCTGAATTCGCAACTAAAAAACTGACAATGCCTATGACTACTTTGATTTTTGAGTCGAACAGTGTGTAAAAGAGTAGATGAATAGAACTGGGAAACATTATAACCAATAGCATTTTGATTACATAAGCAGAATGGTACAGGAACAGTAAATCACAAGTAAATATCACCCACCAATGTTGCCTGCACCTCCTTGGTCGACAGAGAAAGTTGCATCACTTGGACGTATGGAAGATATATCGGAAAACCTCGGTTCAGGAACATTGTAAGGTAACTTTGGACGATGCTTAACCTTCTATAGAAAATTTTAAGCTAGAAAATGTGTGAAGTTATACAAAAAGATCTTACTTGTGCGCTAGAGAGCCGCGACGAATCCAGTTTCGTGCTTCCTTCCATAAAGGAACGCTCCGTCCTTGCAGGGTCAATCTTTGGTGTTGAGAAAGGACCTTCTTTTTGCTATGTACCTGTAATATCGTGGCCAAGTTTTCAAGTATTGAAAAAAACTTAAACTACAAAATTCTTTAGGGTTCGATCGACCATCATCGCTGTTACCGCTGCTACTGATGTTAGACGATGGAATGATCAACATTACATTACATTATTATTCTTATTTCTCCAAATGAGTACTCAGCGACTGGTGAGGACAGCGTATAGTAGGAACAGCGTTAGGCCCGGGCAGAGTTCACGTCATCGTCGCGACTGATCCCGACAAAACAACTAACATATGCATGCCGATATTGCATTTCGGTTGTGATAGTTTTCCAACACGACTAATCGTGAACAACTATCACAACCGAAAATACGAGAAGATCGGCATGCAATGAACGGCAAAGTGATTCATCGGTGGAGATAGCAATAAACGGATTATTTAGACGATACTTTTATCACAACAACACTAGATAGTCTAGATAGCGCGCATTCAAGAACGTCTCAAAATCTCACAGCGTGGCTACGCGCCAAATCGATACGCAGCCTGCTCCGGGGCCCTCCCATTTCTGCTCCGGATACCTCCCATTTTCTGCTCCGGATACCTCCCATTTTCTGCTCCGGATACCTCCCATTTTCTGCTCCGGATACCTCCCATTTTCTGCTCCGGAGGCCTCCCATTTCTGCTCCGGACCCCTCCCATTTTCTCCGGCGCGGCTCTTCCAAATCTGGCGGACTCGCGCCGGACAAATTTCTCCGGCGCGAGTCCGCCAAATCTGGCAGAGTCGCGCCGGAGAAATGGCGGACCTTTGCAGCAGGGCCGGAGAAGCCTCCCACTTGCCTGCCAGTAATGTCACCGCGACGGACCGCCCATTTGCCCCTCTCTCATTGGTCAACTGGGTCCGGCGCGACTCTGGCAGATTCGGACTGTCCGGCGGAGGGGTCCCGTCGATTGTCTGAGGATGCACGGCGCAGAAATTGAGCTACATCAAACAAAAAAAATTGACTCTCATTTACTCCTCCGTCTCTCTTTCTACTGCGTAATCACCAGAGACAGCGAGGATTCGATGCAAGGAGTCAGGAGATGGTCGAGGGCGCAGTGTTTGATTCAAGCCAAAGAAAGGAGCGGAAATATTCTTTAAGTCGTCAGAAACATTTATTGAAATAGCAAAACAACATGATTTTTTGGGTAGACATCTGATTCGCGCCCTTCACTGGATCGAGGGACTAAAGAAATACTGCAAAGGTTACTCAATCTTATTCAAATTTATTTAAACCTGCTATCTTCACAATCAAACTGATTTTCTTGTGGATCTCAATATATTAATGTTTCTAGCACATGCTCCCAAATGTATAAATATCTAGGGTTCCAAAAGTTGTCTCAATGACTGGTTGCCTTACCAATAGCAACCTAGTGTTGATCCTACGAAAATTCGGTGATTCCAAACTCTGTCGGAGAACATCAACTGTGGTCCAAAAAGGCATTCTACTATTTATTAGTACATGAGGACAAGATCGCTTTCCCAAAAATTCCGATACCATCTGTCTCAAAATCGGGTAGAAAACTCTGTCGCGAAAGAGGAGATTCCGCGCGGACATTTGTAACTAAGATTGCATACAATAGGTGCGCATTTGTTTCCAGATACTACGTCTGCGCGGTACCCGCCCTTTCGCCGTCTATGGTTGCTGTAAGGATTTCGAAACTGGTAAGTGAGTCACACCTTTTATCGCACAGGAAGAGCTTATCAATTGTGAAAAATTTTTTCAAAATCCTGTTTTTTTGACACGAAAGAATGCACGGCGCAGAAATTAAGCTATCTGTAACGAAAAAAATCGGGCTCTCTTTTCATTGAGTAATTAGCAGAGACAACGGGGTTTTTATGCAAGGATTCGGGAGATGGTCGTATCGAGCAAATTTTCTCTCCGTCTATAACGTAAGAAAGCATGGGGAAATTCTCTAAGATTACCAAAATGTTCTGAATTCGCAAAACAGCGTGGGTGGGTTGACTGGCATCTGATGCCATCATCTGAGGACCACCAATGAAATGGCTACAAAATTTTTTCAAGCTATATTTTAACCCGCCGTCTTCATTTTTTGTAGATCTCAAGTTTCGATAATTTTAGGGCCCCATATCCTATCTTTTAATGGTTTATAATTACGATCTGCCAATGGCAACCTAGTGCCGTTTTCATGAAGTAGATATCAGTGACTGGAACATTATAAGAGAACATGTGTACATACTCTCATTCAGTCAAACATTCTGCAATGTTGAGAAATAACTAATGTTCGAAACAAACATGGTTCCTTTTCATAATTTCCGATACGGTCTTTACCAAAACAGGTAGAGGACTAGTCGCTGAAAAGGGAAGTTCCGCGCGGACATCTGAGACTACGTACTATATAGGGGTGGTTGTAGATGTTGCGCGAGACCCGCCCTTTCGTCGACATATAGTTATCGTTGATTTCGCAATGAAGCCCTTTGTAGTTTGCATAGTCATGTCACTGAAAAATGGAGTCCATCGAAGCTTTTTAACCGCACAATCGATATACGGCGCAGAGTCCGTGGACCACTCCCAAGTAATGTGTACTTTGAAATGCTTGTTATTCCGAAGGAATGGCAAGGACTACCGAGCATTCGCTCTCAATAGCGTGCAGGGAACGTATGGCGTTTCCCGCATGTCTCCCTCAGACAAATCACCTGCAACCTCCGATGAAAGGTGTGAACCTACAAGCAAAGTTCTTTCTGCCAGTTCTTACAGCGTATTTTAATATATAAGAGAAGAAAATATATTCGAACTTGTGTGTCACAGTGGAAAATGAATTCGAACGCTTTTAGGCAACTTGGACCATGCTGCGGACTCATCACCTTCAGACTCGAACAAAGTTTGATGTCAAACCATGCGGCTTGCCACAGTATGTACTATTCTAGAAAAAAAGACCACAGTTCACATGCTAGGATTATCGTGCCACAGAAATTAGTAGCCAAAACAAGCATTCTTTAAGATCAAATAATCATACGATAACAGTGGAAAATCTCTGAATGCCTCCCTTCAGCAATGTTGAATTCCTTGAACGAGGATTGGATACTTTCGAAGGCTGCTGTTTCACACGATTTAGTTTACCGCATATATACATGTGATAAACTCAATTCGATAAAATAAAATTGAAAGGGTAAGTCGAAAATGCGTGGTGGAGTGATGGGCGTGGAGATGGCCAGCCTTTAAATATTTTCCACGCAGTGATTTTGTAGGAAAAAGACTCAGTCTTAGCGCAGTTCTTACTAAAAAATCATCTTTTCCAAAGTTCTTCCGGACCTGCAAAACGATATGCTCTTTGCACGATATACATCCTTCCCAGCAAGCCATCTGTGCCAAGTTTGATTTTTGCAAAAACACACAGAGCAAAGTTTTATTCCAAAGAACTTCTTCATGTAGCCAAACGTAAAAACGGCGCAAATATTGATTTCAATACTCAAATGTTCAAATACGTCTGGCAAGTGAGATCCACTTCATCACGCTGGAGGATGTAGCACATGAAGTCATAGGGACAGCTGTATGTTCCGTTTCCAGAGTAGAACAGAAGGCAAAACCGACTCTGTAAAGAGTGATGTGAGATGAGAGATTAGTTCATGTAATGTGATCTTATCAATTGAGTACTGGACAGCATTCCACGTCAACATTTGCGTAAGGGAACGGGCATAGTGTCCACGATTTCGTCGCCGCGATCTCATCGCCGGGGAAATCGATGGTTTGGGCGACGAGATCGCGACGATGAAGTCGTCCGTCGCGCGTGCATAGGCATAGTTGGTGGGATTGCGTGCACTCACAAACATGAAATAATTTTTGCACGTACAGGACGCCATTTAAACGCCATTTCATCCTGCGCAGCCGTGTAGGCACTGACATCCTCAATGTTAACCCGCATGGTGACTCGCTTCTTTTTGTGCTGAGAACATTAGAAGTGTCATCGTCTTTTATCAAACATAGTACTTTAATGGTGTGATCGAGCATCTTCAGCATAAGAAATCTTGCAAGTGACCGACAAGATACCTCGAAAGTTGCAAAGCCAATGTGAACGCCTAGTTAGTTTCATACTAAGACACAAAAACGATTGTTAAGTATACTAGCAAGTGTCTTGATTTACACAAAGAATTTCAAATCTCTAAAATCTATCTTTTAAAAGCTTGCAAGATTTTGAAAGACATCCAGAAAAGTTCTTCTCGTTAAACTCTCGATAAACTCGTTTGCAACTGCAGTTATCTCGCATGTCGCCCACGAAAAACATCAAAAAACGAACCAGTTTTTATTGATTTAGAAAACAGAAAACGACGGCTAACACGACACTTCATAATCATCACTACTTCAGAAGAGGTTTTCTTATTTTTCAAACAAAAACGAGGTGAAAGAACAATGCATGCGTACAAAAAACTCTCAAGATATCCCTCGCACCTCAGCGATATCGCCCAGTCGCCCGTGCAGCACGCGCGACGCGACATCGCTGAGTTCGGCCGAAATCGCGGCGATTATCGCCGCAGAACTATGCCCTAGCTAAAAAGGGTCTGCGATCCGTCGCGCCGGACGAGTATCACAAGCGCCGTAGCAGACGTATAGACACACAACGAAAGCGTAACAATTGTCGTAATTCAGAAATCGCAGCGTGACGGTATCGTGGACACTATGCCCTAGGCCTAAGAGAGAATACTGAGAGAACCTTGCGATGTTAACGTTCGGCGATCTCGATACTGTCATGCTTACCTTTTCAGGATTCCCTAATCATACTCAACAAATAAGGATTGCCAAATACGCAGAGCCTCTTAAAGACTGCAACTTTGCTGATGCAACTGCAATGGCGGTCCGAGAATTTTTTAAGGAGTGAGGGGATATGAAAAGAGTTTTTTAAGAACTTTACAAAATTTCAAAGTTAATTTTGATCATCATTTGCATGCTAGCATAAGTTATCTGCATTCAATAACTTAATTAGGTCGTTCAAAAAATCCATAAAAAATCCATAAAATAATAAT